GGGTCATCTGGCCCAAATACAACCGTCAGTACATCGGCCACAAGTCCTACCGCATCTCAAGCAACTACCTCCCAGCAAACAACAGCGACTGCTGGTCCAACCACAACAGGACCAACGCCACTCTCCACTACCAGCATAACAACTCCTGAAGGTACAACTCAATCAACTACCCCGGGAGCTACAACTCAAGCTGGGACTGGAAGTACAGCGGTGCCAACAACAGTCACAAGCTTCACTTCAACTCAGAGTGCAACTCAAAGCACAACCAAAGAGACCACGTCTCCAATCACAAGCCAGTCATCTACAACTCCTGCAACAGGAACCGCCACAACTCAATCCACAGCACTCTTCACTGGCACAACTACTCAAGGCCCAACCGAGACCACTGCGTCCTTGACTACAGCTGACACGACAACTCAAGGGTCATCTGGCCCAACCACAACCGTCAGTACATCGGCCGCAAGTCCTACCGCATCTCAAGCAACTACCTCCCAGCAAACAACAGCGACTGCTGGTCCAACCACAACAGGACCAACGCCACTCTCCACCACAAGAGAAACGACTCCTGGAGGTACAACTCAATCAACTACCCCGGGAGCTACAACTCAAGCTGGGACTGGAAGTACAGCGGTGCCAACAACAGTCACAAGCTTCACTTCAACTCAGAGTGTAACTCAAAGCACAACCAAAGAGACCACGTCTCCTATCACAAGCCAGGCATCTACAACTCCTGCAACAGGAACCGCCACAACTCAATCCACAGCACTCTTCACTGGCACAACTACTCAAGGCCCAACCGAGACCACTTCTTCAGTGACTACAGCTGACACGACAACTCAAGGGTCATCTGGCCCTCTATTTGGCACATCTTCCTTTACAAGTGACACCACATCTCGTATCCAAACTACACATCTAATTGGAATACAGTCAACATCAACTTTAAGTGAAATTACAAGTCAGCAAACTCCGTTCTTCACCACATTGCAGAGTACAGAAGTTAGTCAAGGAACTTACTCTAGGAGTACATCTTCTCGGCCCGGAGAAAAGACCGACCCAACAAGCACAATCTATGGTACATCTCAGAGTACAGACGAACCCCTTTCCTCCTCTACTTTAACTGACGCTGTTGGGAAGAGCTCCACTCAACCATCTACAATTTTCGTAATAACTGGAGTCATAGGAAGAAGATCAACGTACCAATCCACGTCACTCAGTGCAACAGATGAAAGTACAACTCTGCCAACAGCACAGGCCATGACTACAACAGAAAACACACCACCGGCGTCTGCTGACAGTGTCAGCACCACCACCAAAGTCACAAACCAACCAACCCAGACAACAGATGATCAGGCGTCGACGGTCTCCACACTATTTGACATATCAGGTGAACATGTTTTATAGTTTTGTTTCTAATCAATTCCCCTTTTACAAAATAACATCATGGTAGTCGGATTGAATGTCATATAAACTTGAAAGAAGACTGAAGGAGTATGTATTTGAAATTATGTTTTGTCTTATCAAAATGCAAGTCGAGACAAGTTACGATTTTGCACAATTTGTATGGTTAAAGTATAACTGTCAAAGCTGTTTTTCATGCAGCGTGTCAGCAAGAGGTAGCAAGACTCCAAGCTCAGAACGAGCAGCTTCTACATATCATCTATGGAACCGCCTCCGTAGCAAGCTTGCTGTTGGTGATTTCGACCAAGGTTATCGTTCAGGCGGTGCACAATCTGTACAAGAAATGGAAACTGCCGCGCAGCCAAGGGTCTCGGTCGCGACCATCTACCGAGAGAAGAGTGACACCTGAAGGCAGTGAAGACCATGAAATTACGGTAAGGCTGCTCTATCCACTATTTTCTCAATGTCTGTAATAGAATTTGTTAGCTAATAACAATCGTAGGATTTAACGTAGGATATTGTGCATCATTACAGAGTTGTTGTTTTTTGTGTCCACATCAATTGTAAATGGATTTAAGACATTCTCAAGATAGTGTTGGACTGTTTAGATTCTGAGGTAATATATGTCTCTGCGTAGCAAAAAAGATATGATTTTGGAGCATATCTGAACTTTGACTGCACAATAATATGTCTAATGATATGCTTTTCTGCGACCTGCAGACCAATAATGGACAAACCAACGATGTGGAACAGGGAGTGAAGAAGACTGGCAACGCCTGGCAGCCGGTTCTCCCGCCGGTCCAGCTGGGGTCACGGACCATAACGTTGCCGGCTCCTCGAAGGGCATCCGATGGAGGCTTGTCGCGACCCAAGCTCACCTTCTACCGACGAGGCGGGGTGGTGGTCCCTGCGCCTCCTGGTGGCGCCGGGCCATTCCCGTCCACGCAAACATCTCCGCAAGACCTGCCCGAAACTCGGCTGCCCTCAGACGAAACCTTCATTAGAAGGAAATCCAAGCAAGGGGACTTGATTCTGCCTCAGATACCACCTAACATCCGAGGCGCGATCCCTACTGCGGTCAACGCTCTCCTGCCCATTGCGCAAACTGGAGAAGCTCCCACCACGTCTGTCATCTCTCCAGAGGAATCGTTCTTGGCTATGAAGGCCAAGCAGCAGGAGAACTTGGTACTGCCTAAGCTCCCACTGCCAAGGCGTGGTTCGATCCCGATCCGTACTCGAGAACCCCTCCCGTCCGTACAGACATTATTGAGCAACGCTGGCCTTTCGCAGGTTCCGAAGAAGACCGAAGAAGAGTTAAGAGGCCCCACGCCGATCGAGGAAGGCCAGAATGAGATTCCTGGCGTCGTCAATGCCGAGGAACCTTCCTTACCACCCATACTACGTTCAGAACAAGGCAGGGCTGTCCCGACGTCCACAAAGGAGGGGAACATACCTGCGGAGGAGAAGACTAAAGAACAGACAGACGATGAGACAAAACCAATAAAGGAAAGGCCGGAGACCCAACGAGAAACAACAGACGAGAAAGTGCTACAAGAAGATGAGGAGGAGGAAACAGACGTGATCAAAGAAGAGACAGACGAACAGCTGGAAGAAGAAAAGAACAGACTGCAGGACAGGAGGGGATCTAAGCTGACAGAGGAAGACAAACTACGGATGGCAGAAATCCTGAAGGCTCAAACGGAAAGAAGGCAACAGAAAATGAGGAAGCGAAGAGACAGGCGCAAGAAGAAAGAGGAGGCACAAGTAAACGAAGAGGAAGAAATAAGAAGAAGGGCAGAAGTGGAAAGACGTAACAGCATTGTGGAAGAAGACAGGCGCATCGTGGTGGAAGGGCAGAGGCGTAAGATCATGGAAGAAGAGAGAATAAAAGGTAGGACTACTCATTGATAAATTGAAGTTCAATATCTATATCAAGGACATGTACATATCATAAAGTGATGAAATGCTCGATGTATATACCTGAGTAAACAAAACGAAATATGAACGTTCTCTCATGTCTTTTGCAGTTGAAGCCCCGATCCTCGACGATTTGGAACCGGCACTAGAACAACACGATCCTCACGAGCTAGAGACATATATCAGTGCCTTCTACAGCGCTAAACTGACGGATGACACAGGCCTTCTGAAGGAGACAGAGGGTATCTACGACGCCATACAGGCACAACACGGTATGTTTTATCATATTGTTTTCACTTAATCCATTCGTTCATAATATTGAAAACACTATGCAACATGATCATACGGATCAGAAACTGATTGAAACCAAAAATCTATATTTCCTACAGCTACACTTATGGGTAGCTAATAGGACTTGACATTTTGAGTACTACAAGTACTTTTCCTTTCCAGATTTGACGGAGGCATTTGCGAAACGAGACCTGGTGAAGCTTGATGAAGCCATGGCGGCTGCTGAACGGATTATCAACACGAACGAAAATCGGCCTGCCCCACCACCGGTTAGGGTAGGTTCACATTTCATAGGCAACTTTATCGTAGACCAGAAACTATCAACAAACATATTCAGGAAATTCGATATTAAGATCCGGATGGGGCAGCATACTTTTTACTAATGATTGATGTATCTTCTATTTCCACTCTAACATTAGAATGAGCATGTCACATCTGTCAATACTGACTCAATCAGATATGTTGCACTCACTTAAGTATGAAAATACGTGTTTATGAAACCCTCAGCCTGCAGAAGTGGACTCTCAACACTAACATTAGAATGAGTCACAACCTTTGTCAAAATCTCTGACACAACAAATACTAGCTATATTTACCCACCTTACATATAAGTTTCAATTTCAAAACATATGTTTATAAAAAATCACATTAGTCTTGTGATATGATGTTACAGCCTGGAGGAATCGACCCTCTAAGAGCCAGGAGGATAGAGATGTGGAAGAAGGCGGCTGAGGAGAACAAGAAGGTAACGGACCGCCTGTCACGGCAACTGCACCAAGCTGACAAGATCAAGCAGCTAGAGAAACTAAGGCGAGAGGTAAGCAGACACTGATTCAGCCCCATGTCGTACTCTTTTACACACACATCATTGTCCGACATATCTGTGTGATTTTCACATTTGATCTACTGTAGACATAAAAAAGTTATTGACCTATAGTGTAAAGGTTCTGAATTCAAATACTTAGAAGGTCCCATGAGAAAGGCACTGTACAATGAATGAATGAATCAATCTGTCTTAGTCGTAAGCAACTTGTGCATATAACAATTGCAGTATATTGACAAACCACTTAACCTGTTTCAGGTACTTGATGCAAGTCAAGTTACCATCTCAGAGATAAGGAACTACAACCATCCTCCCCAGAAGGTAATACTAGTCATGTCCATCTAATATTCACCTTTCATCAGTCACCAAAACTGGTATGTTAAGTGGATCCACTCTACATACTGAAATCTGAGATAGTCTTTCGTGCATTTGATTTGACTGTGCAATATTTGTATCCTTCTTCATACAAAATGAGGCATCATTTATTGACATGTCTCGTCCCTCTCTATTTGTTTCAAAGGTTCACCAGGTTATGACGGCTACGTACCTGTTGCTGGGAGTCAAGGAGCGGGAGACAGAGGTATGTGAATCAACGATAACTATAGTCAGAATTATAATACCTGAAATCTCTATAAGCCATAGTCATATTGACATACACGTAGTACTTTAAAAACTATCTTTCACGGTCCACCACAGTACGATAGCCCATTGAATTTTTGACTGTGTCAACCTATATGTATAGTCTTCCTCAACATTCAAATGATCTAGGAGCACTTGATCTTAAGGTTAGCAATTGGTACATGCTTAAAACAGCCAGGAAGTTTATACCACCTAACGTCCTTGTTAAGCAAAGGTATGCTTCAAGATCGCGCAAAATAGATAAAAGGCTAAACCGTAGAATAATCGATATGTACATACGGGTACGAAATGACACGCGCCCTAAATTGTTCATAATCTTTGTTTCTCGTTGTATCTGTTGTATCTTTGTTCCCGGTCATTTTCATGTAATCCATAATTCATAGACATTGTATCAATTAAATGAAATAGTGTAGTATGTAGTCTTAAGTTATATAGAACTCTGTACGTTACCATAAAAACCCATGCCTCATATACATATTGTATACCAATCATATAAAATAGTGAAAATAGCATAGTATAGTGTTTAAAGGTACGTTTGAAGAATTCTTTTGCATTGCTGTAGACAGTAGATATAGTTTTAATATTTAGCACCTCTCAAGAACTTGCCATACGTATTGTAGCTGCTACAATTGTTGATTGATTGATCGATCTTTTTTGTTTGGATGCAGGACTGGCGAAATGTTCAGGCGCTGATGGGACACTCGTTGACGAAGAAGATCCAGCACATTAACCCGTCGCGAGTGCGGCTACAGACGGCCCTAAGAGCTCAGGAGATACTCAACAACTTCACTCCCGGGCAGATCCGTGACGTCAGCGCTGGGGCAGCGTCCTTCTACCATTGGGTAAGTGTTGCGTTCAGTTGGATTTGAATTTGCTCAAGCCGTCAGTTGAATTTAAGCAGCAGTAGCACCTTGTAGATTGATATATTTGAGGGAGAGTTTCTTAAGAAATGGAAAAAGCTGTTCAACATGGAATGCGCGTTTGGAGTTGACAAATGTATTTTCAGACTGTGTGTGTGGTATAGTGATACAATCCTACCAGGCTAACCAATACGGCAGGATGCTTAATATATCAGCAAAATAGTCAATGCACATATATACACACAATGTAAAAGCAAATGTCTAGCTTTCAGTATCAGTGGTATAATTGATACATACATTGTTTCCCTCTGTTCAGGCACAAGGGGTGATACAAGTGGTCATCAGCAGTCACCATGCGAAGGCGAAGGTCTAGGGGAGACCATTCTTCCTGCTTCTGCCAATTGTCGACTGGAATCCACAGAGAATATCTTACTACACATATAATGTACCAAAGACAACTTATTCTGTGCTACTCTGGAGATAATGACTTGTGAGCTGATGCATTAAAAAGATGTCGTTGTCAGCAAAATCTTTGTTTACCTTACAAGCAACATGGATCTGTCAGCACTTATACAAATTATTTTACGGTCTTAACTTGAGAAAGTGCCACCTTTTGTAAATGCTATTCCTATGACACTATATTATTGCTGAAAAGAGAGGCCAAAGCTTGTTAAAACAATGTGATTGTGTTATAGTCTGTCTTTATCTCTGGATAAATATTGTAAAGATGCCTTTGTGTCTTAAGATAACTTATCATAAGATATTTAAGCTTAAGGTAATGTACTTGTTTAAGATTATGTATTGTACATAGTATAAGGTGACATCTGATACATATCATGATGCAATATATCTATTTTCCCATTGGATATTCGGAATCTCAGACATATGATATTGTGGTACTAGTTTACTCTGTTTTATTTTATATGATGATAGAAAAAATTGTATAATAAATTCGACTGTAATATCTAAATTAAGAATGGAAGAATGTGCAACTTACAGAAAGATCTGGAAGAGTGTTGCTAGCTGATGATATCCATAGCTTTGACATTTGCTGTAAATATAAAAATTATTATTTCCAACATTATTGTTGTATAGTTTAAAGACAAAACGGATCAAATTTTATTATCGAGATACGTATTCAAGATGACAAAATTTCTCAATCAAAAATATCTACTACATACATGTGTACATATGAAAAAAAATCATTGAAATAAGTGATTCCATTTATTTTATTAAAGGTATAGAGAATCTAGGTGCGTTGCGATCCTTCCTTGTGTTTCTTAAGTGTATAATTAAATATGCACTTGGACGGCTAGATAAGAATTTAATAATTGTTACCGGTTTGACTGTCATAGTTTCCATATTCTTATATCAAGCCATTCTTCGGCCGTCCGTCCGTCCGTTGCAGAATGCCCTATGAACGTAATGAAATAGGACGCAATGTCGTCTGCAATATACAAACATAGACAACAAACAGGTGGTACAAATATCGTGAGGAAAAACATAGTTTAAAAGAGCAGAAAAACCAATAATTTTCCTCAGAATAGAGAGATATATGTAATAGCAAAGAATTACATGTGTCACCTATATCATAACTTTTCTTGAATTAGTAATAACAACGAAAAATTCATGACAACTGGGTGGACTTACCAGGGCAAGCCGCCATCTTAATATTCATGATGATATGAGGAAAGAGAGAAAAGTTATTATTGGATACTGAGAACGAGGCTATATAAGTGAGCACCTTTTATTAAAATTTTTCCTTTTTTCATCTTTGAATAATGTTGAAAGCCAATGATATACCAAGTACAATCATTCTGAAAATGAAAACGGTTTTACTCCTGTTTTTTTGTCGCCTGCTCATATTACACGAGAATACAAATTTCCCGCCTAAAAACAGCTGATCGATATTTCCCGTCATGCCCCGAAACCAACATGGCTGACCCCGAAAGTTAAAATTTTTATTGTGACAAATTTTCGCCAAATCTAGAGTGAAATACGCCGCCTGTAGATGGCAGAAGGGAAGCAAAGCGAAGCCCAAGGGCTGTCGGAAGGGCTTGGACTTGACGAGGTATGTTTTTATGTTGACAAGAATACCGAAACCCTTATTTTTGATGATCTTGACGGCATGGGGAGGGGGGCGGAAGGGGCGGATGCAAATTTTGAGTATTAAAAACTACATTTATGATCGTACAGTGGGTCCAATTCTGATGGTCTGTACATGTTATAGCTCTCAGTTAAGTAGCGCAGTGCTTAATATTAAAAAGCATGTATGAAGATATAGAAAACGCCGGAAATTCAGCGGAGGATCACGAACTGTATAAACTATAAGATTGTTGCAAAATCTAGACTTAGGTTGTCAGTGGCTAGGTGGAGTACATTAAAATAACATCTTGGGAGTGGAGAACTTTTCTTTTAACAAGAATATAGCTTTAAAACGTCATGACCCTTTAAGCACACATTCTGGCCTTTATGATATTGATTAATTGTATACATCCTTGAAATTATGATACACTATTGATGATATGAGTCTTTTTTATGACCTTTTTGAAATGCATGGTTTATCATGGACTGCGCAGTACACAAAGGAAGACATTAGAGCAGACAAGAAACACACATGTAAGGACTTTGATGACCATATGTTGTAACAGTTATAATATTATTGTCCAGCACTTGAAAACACTTGCAACGCTTAAAATGTCATGTGATATCTTGTGGGTCAAAGGTCCAAACAAAGCAAACAAACAGTACAGCAACAAGGGGAATGCCAGCTTCTCTAGTCAGCCTGCATATGAATCCCTGACTATTCATTCTATAAGAGATTAAATAAATAAACTACATATCTTGTTTTCCTCCTCAGATGGAACAGTTGGATGACAGTGAGTTTGACCTTCCAGAGGTTGTAGCCCCACCCTCACTAGAGAGCATCCTTAATGAGGTAGGCATGGTGTGGAGAATTCATATTGATTAGCAGTACAATACAGGTACAGAAATGTTACACCTAGCCTTTGCACATTGCTTCAGCATTGTTTAAAACTACAGTATTTAGTGATGATGCCCATTTTGCACTGAACTCAGAAACTCTGCTATACTGATACATGTAGCTCTAGAAAAAATGTGTTTTTAGACACCTCAAATCCTTGGTTGATAACTCTGCTACTTGAACTTCGAAGGCATGGCTATTTGTATTTCTTGTTCTTTTCTGAGCTGATATAACGTACTGAGTAGATTCTACTGATTTAGTTGTACTCAAGTCTGTTTCCTGATATACACTTGCTTTGTAATGTCAAGCTTTACATATACATGTACATATGTACTAGTAGTAAATCCACTAATTTAATTACTCGAACTTTACAGCCTGATGATGACAGTTTCAACTTAGACGACCAGAACCTCGACATCTTTCAAGATGCGAGTGGCGAAACGTCCTCATTGGTCAGCCTGGAGTCCCTGGCCTCGGACAAACCCCTGGCTCCCAAGAAGAAGGCTCACGTTCAGTACGCCAGTCACGGGTCCATCCTACGCCATGTGGTTCTGAAGGGCGTGTCAGCACAAGTCATGTCAGCTGCTGTTAGTATCTTCACATCAACTCATTAGTTTTTGTCAGATACTGTGAATTGTTAACTTAATGTATATAATTGTTACTTAAGTTCATGGTAGGAAGAATAAGTTTGAAGTTGACACAATTTTTTAAGAAGAATTTGTTATTAATAGAAGTAAAAGCTTTTACTAATTTCAGAAGCAAATTACAAAGGTTGAGTTTGATGAAAATGCATAGTTAATATATTTTCTTTTCTTCCTTAACTGTGTTTGTACGATTTGAAGAAAGCTTCACTAAGGTTGTATTTGTCAAGCTGTATTATCTACTTGGAGATACATTTCTATTTTTTTGTTTGAATACAGGACAGGGTTGATGCAGGCATGCCTACGGCCATGGCGGTCTCACACCTAGTTGCTATTGGATCTTCTCATGGTCTCATACTGGTGTTTGGTAAGTGTTACACATCATGCCATTGTGTCTTCTTTCCTGTTTTCATACACTTGAATGTACAGTAGTCTTATCCAAGTTTTGTGCCTCTCCTCTGTCCTTAACAAGGATCATTAGCCCTTCCTGAAACCTAGTTGAGTTTCTTTTGGCAATGCAACAGTGACAGAGCCTGCTAAATTATTCCTCGTCTTTGTTTCTCAGACCCAAAGCAGGTTCTGAAGTGGTGCCTGGGCAGTACGGCAGTTGGTGCTCAGTATGGAGCAGTGTCTGCTCTCAGTATCAACCATGACTGTACCAGACTTCTCAGTGGCTTTGCTAAAGGACAGATCACGATGTGGGACCTGACAACAGGGAAGCTCCTGAGAACTATCACTGATGCCCACCCACCTGGCACAGCTGTTCTACACATCAAGGTACTCATGTGTGTAGTAGTTTTTGCAGTAAGAGCAAGTAAGAGTATCTTATTGACAAACTTAGTTAGCAATGATATGCAAGCCATCACCAAAGCCGCATTGCATAAGTATAGCTACTTGGTACTTAAAAAAGCATCATGCTTCACCTCTGTGAAGGATGACTACAACAAACAAAAAATCAAGTAGTGATAGTAGAATTATTTCTTCCTTAGCATATATAATAAAAATACATGTACATGTGATAATACATGAGCTAACATGTACTGGTAATGAGTTGGGATTATAAAGATATCAACAACTTCTTTCTGGACAAATACAATCAAAACATTGTCTGTTTTCATTAACTCTTTGTCTTACCCAAAGCCTATTTTCCACCATCTATAGTTCACAGATGATCCTACGCTGGCCGTATGCTGTGACAGCGGTGGTTCTGTCTTTGAGCTCAGCTTCAAGCGGCTGATGGGGATGCGGACATGCGAGTCGCGGTGTCTGTTCTCCGGCGCACGCGGCGAGGTGACGGCCATCGAACCACTCCTGTCCACAGAGAGCATCCAGGACCATCCCATGAAGGAAGTAAGCCTGCTGGCCATGGCTTCCCTCTCCAAGGTACTGAAATGTTACTTAAGTCCTTTCAGATGAAATATAAATCTTATGGCCTCGTTTATTGGGTTGCTTCAGATGTCAGATCACTACAATACACTTATTGAGAAGTGTATTGTGACCAGGAGTGCTTGACTGAAAATTCGAGTCTTGTTGTTAAGCAACATCCCATAAAGGAAGTCAGCCTGCTGGCTATGACGTCCCTCTCCAAGGTACTGAAATGTCTTCTGTTCAACTCAATTTTATCCCATTACAATGGTGTGCAAGCAAGACAAAGCAGGACTCATAAGACTTTTTCTGCAAGCTGAACAGATTGTTTAAACTTAAGTGTTTCTTGAATTGTCTTACGTTTTGTCTGTTTCACAACTTTGAATTGTAATGGGAAAGAAATACCCACAACATAGATAAGTGCTGGCTAGGAGCACAACTTCAACTCTACCTGCAAAAACCTGCATATGTAGGTGATATTTTGAGCCCTGCCAAGGTATGAAGTGGTGCTAGGTTACCATCTCCAGGGTACTGAAATGCCTTCAGTTCAACTACATAAAAATTTTGATAACTCCATGCAACTCTCTGACATAAATCTCAATGGGGAAGTAAAGAGTAGCCCTAAGGAAATGTAAAGGCTTCTTGTAATGTTGTCAAAAGTATATAAAGATCATCATTCTGTGGTTATATGTAAGTATTTAATTGTTTTCCCTACAGATGTTAATCGTGAGCCTGAAGCCCCACCTGAAGGTCCTGTTTGCCCACCCGCTGAAGGGGGAGCCCACCACCCTCCCCGTGCTGGCCTGGCAGTTTGTCATGATCCAGATCACAGACACCACCAGGATCGTGGATCCCGTACTCGCTTTCGGCAGGGGGAACAAACTCTTCTTCTTCCAGGTAGGTAGCATCACTGGGTTTCCAGGTAGCAGCACTAGTTTTCCAGGTAAAAGTACTAGGTTTCTCTAGTTGGTAACAGCACTAGTTTTCCAGGTACAGCACTAGTTTTCTAGGTAGCAGCCCTAGTTTTTCAGTAAACAGCACTAGTTCTAAGTTAACAGCACTAGTTTTCCAGGTAACATCACTGGTTTTGTAGGTAACACTAGTTTTCCAGGTAAATGCGCATACTGGTATAACTGTTGTTGTTTTACATTTCTCAGGTTTCCTACCAAGAAGATGAGATCAAGTTCTCTGCTCTACAGAAAATGGAGCTCCCATACGTCATCATTGCTGTTACTGTAAGTCTTTCCATGAAGATGACCTTCAAGTTTTACATTTCTACTACTGTATTAAGTGCTGTGTTATATATATGCACTAGTATAGGTACGCAGAAAACATTGAAAATTACCTGCACCAGAGAGGTTTTACCTGCACCCCTCATGACTTTGAGAAGTATGAATCACTGTTCAGAAACCATTGCCATTATATTTCTATAAAGGTGGTAACAGTCAATGCACCAAATAAAAATACACAATACACCTACATAAACCAGTGCAGGGTGGGTGCAGGTAGACATCAGAAATACCTTCACAGCTCCAATTTTACCTGCGTATGCACCCATTATTTTGTGCCTTGAAGTAACAAGACTAATACTAACACCATGAAACTTCCTTCCACAGTGGGTAAACTCGAGAACTCTGGTACTGGTAGATGCGTACGAGAAGGTCCATGTGTTGGATGTGCGAACAGAGGAGGAGTTAGAAGTGATTGACATCTCAGATGTCCAGCTGGTCTACGCCAGCAGCTTCTTCAAGTCTCTAGCTACAGGAGGCAACGTTAGCAAGGCTCTGGCCTTGGCTGGTACGTATCTAATAATCTTTTGTATTTCCTGATGTAGGATATATAGACTAGTCTTGTAGTATTGTTGTTCAATAGTTGTTGCCATATATTGTACCCTATACAAGTGTTCATTAAAAAAATTCCCTTTAAGTGTAATCAAAAGTGCTACCCGCATGTTGGTGTTTTACCCCCAAACCAGTCCAACAACTTGTATGCCCAAATATAGACACTAGTTACGGTTCATTGCTCATGCTTACTACAGTGTACCTGTTCAAATTCTCTGCACTGTAAACAGGAACTAAGTTCTGTACTCAAAAACTGTCAGAATACAAATATGTGAAGAGTTATTATAATAGTTTATTGGAAAAATGAGTAAAGACAAGAAAGCTCAGGCTTCCAAGAGTAGAAACTTCAGGCATGGAACTGAAAAGGTTAAAACTGCAGCTAAGAAATACGGGGCACAACTCAAGACTAAAGTACAGACAGGTGAGATACATGTGCATTGTACCAGGTGTATAGATTTACGATTTACTTGTGTGATCTGGATACATTTGGAATCTATGACAGTTTCCAAGAAAAGAAAAGGTGAAGAAAAACTTGGCATAAACATAAACTGTCAGTAAATATGAATATCAGACAATGACAGATTTTCTCATCCAGAATATTTTTTCTATGCCACTGTTAAAGTAGACACACATCATGCCAGTGGACTAGTCCACTGCTGTAGTGATTGCATACCTGTGTGCCCCATGTGTTGTGTGCAGGAAGGAAATTTAACCCTGAAATTGCATTGGGGTTTGACACGTTTTTTTTTTAAATTTTCCAGGTGAGCGAGCATGCTACAACTCGGTGGTGAGCTTCAGTAACCAGCTTCTGTTCCTGGGCACCAAGTCTATCCACGTGATGACCATCCGGACCTGGATGGAGCGGATAGACCTGCTGGTCAAACAGAACAAGTACATCGAGGCTCTGGCCATGGCTGAGTCCTTCTACATGGGGCGGGCACGGGCAGTCGTGGGTCTGCATGGGGGTTCTGACAAGAGGACACAGATCATTGCAGACAAGGTGCAGATTTTTAAAAATACTTATTACAATAAACAGCCCAAATGACCACCACTATAAGCCAACCATCTGGCCATAATGACTGCTTTTTCTTGGTCCTGATTTTTCCCCCTGAAGATGTAAGTATTATATATAAAGGGACTTGCCTAATATTAACATAAGCCAACCACTTGTGACCGGCACTATCCCACACGTGGCCCAATGTCTGCCTATGACGCCAATGTGGTTGACTGCATTTTTCATTGCATTTTCATAGCCTTACAATGTACATTCACAGATTTGCCATTGTGTTCAAAATTACAAACTCGGATTAAAAAACTATTGGCTGTACATTGTGATATTTTCTGAAATATTCCTGTGTGCTCCGTAGATGCTGGATTTGTTGCTGACCTACGTGGATGTGTCTATGACAACCCAGTGCCCTGCCAGTGGGAAGATAGAAGTGCTGGTACAGCACTACCAGACAGTGGTACCTGTGTGTGTGGACTACTGTCTACTGCTGGGGAAAAGGTAGAACTAGAAAATTTGAACATCTCTCATTTTGCCAGTAGATCAGTTTTTCAGGTCCCTTAATACATAGAAAGCTTAACATGGGCACACAAAACAGAAAAAGTCACTTAAACAAATAGCATAGAACTTATCGTCGAAAAAACTACAAAATACTGTCTTAAAAACTGTTGTGGTGGTACGTTACCTTTGTTTAGTACAAAGCTTGTTCTACACTACTGGCTCCCTATACTATCAACTGCCCTTGAAAGATTGCATGTTTGTTTAGGTTGACTGGGTGAAAAGGTAACAGGGCCTTACATGCACCCGTCATCAGAAGCATGAAACATATTCAGCATTCAACTTGTCTATTCATCATTGCTTATAATACAATCATGCATCTTTTCTGGACTTCATCTTCATTCATAGGAACCCCACGTTGATGAAGGACATCCTGTTTGGTGGCATCTATGACCGGTTCTGTCAGGACCCCATCGCTCGTGGGGTGTTCCTGGAGTGTTTGGAACCCTACATTCTCAATGACAACCTCCGATCTGTAACTCCTCAGGTAGGGAGTACACTATAGAATTTCTGTTGTAAGAAGTAGTTTATTTTCAACTTTATTCCACAGACAATCAATTATCTTCTTTGTACTTTCCTGTAATTTCACTAGAAGTCAGTAGGGGGCATTTCAAAGTGGCTGTTTAAGACTTTTAGCATGTACATTATAGTTCCAGCCTGCATTTTGTTCGTTCTTTGGCAACAGTGTTTTAGCTGATGTGTAACACCAATGGGCAGTTATACCTGCTATACACATACAGATATTTTACCAGTACATTGATCTGGATTGAACAAAGCTTGGAGTTGTGTCCCACTGAGCCATACAAATGTACATATACATGTATAAGATTGGTACAAAACATATTTTCTTACATTATACTTAGAACAAATAAAGTTAACCAAGACTCTAGTAGTTGCTATCTAAACTTTTTCTTCCTCCTGAAAGGTTATGAAGGACTTCATGGAACATTACCAGCACAAAGGACTTCTGCAGAACATCGAGGCTTGTATTGTTCACATGGACGTGGCTAACCTAGATGTACATCAGGTAAGTGTCAACTACTACTGCCAATGATTTAATAGTCCAATACTCCTACGGGCAATAGTGACTGGATCTGCTTCACAGGTCAGGGGTCGAAAAACAAGGTAACATTTAAAATTACCAGCACCAGACAAATTTTACCTGCACCACTCAGACTTTAGGAAGAATGGATCGCACTAAAAACTGTTCAGAATCCATTGCCATTATTTATTTTATACTTCATAGGTGGTAACAGTCAATGCAGAAACTACATTTGTATATCAGGTGCTACAGCTGCACTGGTGATCTTTATACCCCACCATACCAGGTTGTCAAAATTAGAACTGAATTTCATACATTTTGATGTTTATTGTTTTGCCTGTTGTTGTTCATGTTAATGTAAATATTTTCCCTGTCAGGTTGTAGTGATGTGCTGGCTCCATGGTCTGTACGATGCCCTGATCTACATCTACAACAAGGGCATGCAGGACTACATCACTCCGCTGGAGGAGCTGCTCAGAGTTCTGCAGAGTGCCATCAAGTCTAACAAACAGCTCACAGATGACCAGGTAGGGGGGGAGGAATTTTGGCAATGCTTCAGGAGTGGAGCCTTTTTTGTTGGTTGTGTCCCAGTTAGGGGTTAAAGCCTTTAATTTGTAAAATTAGGAATTCCCTGTACCTCTTTTTAAGGCATCCAATGCAATTTCATGGAGACAAAACTGGATTTTTTTTCTGGTTATTCTTTTAATATTCACCTGAATATGCTCACCTGAATCCTGGCCAATTGGGACCATTTCCCAGGGTAATTAGACCATCCATGTAGTTAAGACAGCATTGTACAGTTTGAAATAAGTTGAATCAATACTATCCCATAGCATACTGATTGATGAGGGAAAAATGCTATGTCGCTGAAAAAAAAATATTTGTTTTGTATTGCAGCTATTTTTGTTTCGCCCTGCTGAAATTGCATTTGATGACTTTGAGTTCTCAGATTCCAGAACTTGTGTCTTATTTGTTGAAGACATTTTCAATTTTGTCACAAGCCTGTACCATTTCCCTTTCATACAGTTTACATCAGATACTTTATATTTCTTATGAGGCTTAGTCTAGATCTGTAGTGCTTTATAGTTACAAGTGGAAGGATACTTGTGATTATTTTTCTCCACAGCCTTTCTGATCTTCTTTACTTTTGTTGTGTTCTGTGTGTGTTTGTGTGTCTCCTGTTGTAGACTTCTCTAGCAGCTAGGCAAAAGGACAGACTTTTCAAACTTAAGCTCCCAAAGAGTAAGAAACAGCTGGTAAGAATTTCTCTCTTAGGCAGACCAGGGCTATGAAGTATTATATCACTAATATTATTTATTACTGTCTCTGCTAGCACTGTATGCATATGGAATGATGCTGATGTGATTATTTTTACTCCTGATTTTGCTGATTTGGACATTTTTCTACCGTGTTGGTTTGATAAGAATGATACATTCAAGCAAATGAATGCATGCTTCTGTTCTTCGTTTAACTATACAAACATATCCTAATAGTGACCTCTTGTGAGTCTTGCATGACTTGAAGGAATGGTCACAGTAGATATGTAGTCACTATAGACAGGATTCCTAATGCTTGGATCAATGTAAAAAAATAATGCAAGGGACAACCAACAAGTGGTCCTTATGGAGAGAATCCAAGAGATGGTTGCCAGTATAGGTTTTAAAATATTATCAGTTTTCAGCTACAGAGTTTTATTCTCTTCCCCTTTTACAGTTCATACCTGCATGGTTAAGGATTATGATAAATTCACATATTTCAATGTTACATTTTGTTCCTCAGATTAAGCTGGGAAACAAGCTGCTGGTATACATCAGCTGTTGTCTTGCCGGACGGGCGTATCCACTGGGAGACATCCCACCCAATCTGGTCGACACGGTCAAGTCAGATGTCTTCAAATGTGTGACAGAGCTGCACACTAAAGATGCCAGCGAAGGTAATGATGTGGGGATTGTTCAGTAACACCTAAGGGGTGGATGGAGGTGCTTTAAGGATATTTCAGAAACACTTTTGGGGATGGTGATGAGAAGATTGTAACAGCCCCAGACGACACCATCATCTTTTTCTCTAAAGTTGTTAATCTTTCTCTCCAGAATTGTTAATCTTTCTCTGCAAAATTGTCAATTTTTCTCTCCAAAATTGTTCATCTTTGTTACCTCTTCATCTTCTTGGGAAAGATGTCCAGTTGAAAATGCAGTAGTTTTACGTTGTAAAGATGCTTGTACATATATTTGGGTGATTTCAAACCAGAAGCAGTTTTGTACTCCAATCTTCAAGTTGCTGTTTTGTTCTTCCGATGATTTTCCAGGTGAGCAGACGTACCCGTACCTGAGAACACTGCTCCAGTTTGACACACGGGAGTTCCTGAATGTCCTGGCACTGGCCTTCGAGGAACCAGAGTTTAACACTGAGGACGGGATGAGACAGAGACAGAGAATAGTAGACATCTTACTACAGGTAACATCAGCACTATACCTATATACATTGTATGTCCTGATGTTCACAAACCTATAGACACGTAGTTAGAAGAATAGTTGGGACTAAAAATAATCTTTCATGTGTATGTAATAGTTTGCTGCTCATACTCTTTTCAGTGATGTTTTGCTTGGTTTTGACCTATACAGCTTGCATAGCATCAGGCATAGATCTCTTCCAGTGACATACGGTAGATAGATACTAGACCTTGCATTTTGCATGTAGTTAGTCCCTACAGATCTGTATTCATACAAAAGGTAATGATTCATCCTCAACTACATTGTTGTAAGATGAAGCATGATGCCTTTTTAAGATAGAAACTAACTGGTGCTATGCAGCTTCCCCAGCTCCCCTACTGTTCTTGATTAAGTCTTTTGGTCCAAAGTTGCGAAAGCAATGGGATTGGTTACCACTTGCACCATAGGGACAGCACTATTAATGTACAAATGCAAATCATTGTGTTCTATTATTGATGCTAAGATACTCTTTCCTCACTAGGTGATGGTGGAAAGTGTAGGCTTCACACCGACCCAGGTGGGCTGCCTGTTCACATTCCTGGCAAGACAGATGGCACGACACGAGAACTCCATCCTGGTGAACCGGCTGCTGTTCGAGCAGGTGCTGGAGTTCCTGGCCAGTCCCGAGGATGACAGCCGACATGAGGAGAGACAACAGGTGGGGTTTACAGTTACATCTGATACAGGGAACAGTATGGGCAACAGGTAGGCTATTATAGGCACAGCTAGGTACTCATACAGATGTTTAGATATAGGTTGAGCAGGTGCTGGAGTTCCTGGCCAGTCCTGAGGACGACAGCCAACATGAGGAGAGACAACAGGTGGGGATTTTGACTCTCTTACTCTCACTCACTATCCGGTTGAGAGTCTGTTATTCCCCATCTTCTGAGGATCAGACATGCTAGCACACCAATACTGAGTCTTCATGGCAGCCTGCCATTTGCCTCTATCTTGTTGGTTGACGCTATGTAGGTTAAGGTGGTGGAAGTCCTCCCTTATGTTGTCAGTCCATCTCTGCCTGACAAGTATTTTAAACAATACACACAACAAAAAACAAAAAAGTTTGCTACTCAGAGGAGCTTTGAAGATGCACTCTGTCTCTTCATCAACCCGGTAAAGAAGAATTATTGAATAGATGCCTGTTGGATCATAAAAAAACTTTATTAATTGCCTCAATAACACACCAGCAACTATCAGTATTGAGAAATACTGAATCTTTGAATGACCTTCAGCTGACCTCTTGCCTGCCCCCCTCCCCAGGCTTTACTGGAGCTGCTGAATGCAGGAGGTTTACAGCAGGTGGATGAGGAAAAACTCCTCAGTCTGGCGGAGAACGCTCGCTTCTACCGCGTCTGTGAACTCCTGTATGAGAAGAGGAGGGACTTTGACAAGATCTTAGCCTGCTATCTGAGAGATGCCGCCAGGAGAGTAAGTATTGTCATTGTCATGAATGTTCATCTGTGTTGGTAGTTACATGTTTAAAGTTAAAATGCTTGTTCCAACACAAAGAATTCAGAGAAGCCAAGTCTCACCGGATCAGTCTATGAAGGAAGACCAGAGTGACTTGTCAAAACCTCTAACCATTCTTTGTGTTGGAACAAAATTTGTAACTTTAAACAAGTATTATCATCATTATGCAGGGCTCAAAATATGTTTTCTACATACCTGTACTGCTGTAGGTAACACTGCAATCTGATCAGCCATTATGTCTTTTACACCAAATTACTTTTTTCTATTAGACTCTGATTGGTTTAACATGCTCAAGATCTGGCTCTCTCCTCAATGTATTGCTTGTCTCTTACAGCAATTGTTCTCGGATTCTTAAGAAATGTGTGTTGTTTTCTGTAGCAACAAGTGTTCTCCTTCATCCACACCGTGATGACTGCCTACGGCTACAGCAATGAGGAGAGGAACGCTGTCCACAGGGAGGCCATGAAACAACTGGAGGTGAGCAGCCTTGCTGCTATTCCTTTCTGTTCTGATAGGGGGCACTTTACAGTATACACTTTATTCACCATTGCCCTTAATTACAGCACTGAAAGAAATGAATTATTTGAAGTAGTTTCAAAATATTTACACACCTTTTCAGCCTACAAAAACTACATTTCTATTAACGCTTCTCAATACACAATATTTTGTAAATCATCAGGCATTTCATATTCCACCCCACACAGCAGAAAAGAAAACAGACCTAACAGTAACTTACTAACTTATGTATATTAGAAGCAGCACTACATGTAGTACTGTAGTAGACTATGCTCATTTTTACAGTAAATTCTGTTAACTGTTATCATTTCAAAATGTTCTTGCAGGCAAGAATTTGCAATAAAGATTGGTATTCAGTGCTTTTATCAACTGTGTTCCTAACTCTAAACAAGACTATTTTCAAACCCCCAGGACCTGGTGTCCATCAACAGTAAGAAGACAGCTCAGCTGGTTGTGACAGACTTCTCCCACAGTCTGACAGAGATTGTGTCCAAACTGGAGTCTCAGCCAGTCGTCCTGTATGACTTCCTACAGGGACTGTTTGATACAAAGGTATGTGTGTTTCTGTGCTAATGTCTGCAAGGAAAAATGTCCTTGTAAGAAAGTGGTGTGTACTGTTGGATTGGTGCTGAATTTCATAAAGACATTGTTCAAAGACTGTAATGTGGTCGAAATCAATGTCAAACTGGCAGATTCCATTAAGATTTCAGTGTCAGAAAGCGTTTTCTGCCACACGCTTGAAAATGACACAGTCATCATAGGCTTCCTGAGATTGGGCCATATGTGGTCGCAATTGTACAAGTCAGTGTTCTGTAAGTTGGACAAGTAGCTTGGGCAGTTCCCTTAATGCTTACGTCTATGGGGAAAAAAATCAGGACAGAAAAAGTGACCATTATGGCCAAATGGGTGGCTTGTAGCGGTGGTTGCTTAGGCAAGTTTGACTGTAACTTAGAACCAAGAAAAGTAAGGCTCTAAACTATCCTGCTGTACATATAGGCCTCCAGGATGTTTCACTCTAGTCTGTCTTAATCACTTATTGTTTCGTCCTTTTTGCATAGGAACAAGTTACGATGAAGGACCCTGTATCAACAGAGCCGTCTGTGACAGAGAAGTACATTGACCTGATGTGTAAATATAACCCACAAGGTGTCATGGCCTTCCTCAAGAACAACGACACCTATCGGCTGGAGGAAACACTGCAGGTGTGTATGGAGATCTATGGATTTATAATGACTATGTGTTTATGGACTTTTTAGGACTTCAATCATGTAACCTGTATCTTGTTACATTCTATCTGACCCTGACCTCTTCCCTAATAACCAACAATGAAAATTGGCCAGCAGGCTGCTTTCATGAGTAAACGAAGGCTGACTCAGAATCAAAATATTGTTGTTGTTTTCTACATTCATTTTAAAAACCACACCTGTTCATGTCGGACATGGAATACTAATACATGTACCACACAAAAACAAACAGTGACATGTCAATTTAAAAAGCAGAGTATTATACAAAATTTACAGGACTGGTGTGATCGTGTGACACAAGGTTTTGTTTCTTGTAGTTTACAAATTTGCTTTTTACTATGTAGAGTTTCATCATTCCCCCCCTTAGTTGATTAAGGATGATGTTCTTTTCTTTGTGTATTCTTGCCATATTTAGTAATGATTGTAATGTTGGTTTGCAGATCTGCAGGAAGCATAAGTCCCTGGAAGCCACAGCCTACCTTCTGGAGAAGGCAGGAGATGTGCAGGGGGCCTTCAACATCATGTTAGAGACTCTGGTCAGCAAGGTCAAGGTCCTCAACCAACTCATGCTGTCTGACAGCTCCAACACTCCCACACAGGTTTGTTTGTTTGTTTGTTTGTTTGTTCATCTTGCACATAAAATAGGATACAGTACAATGTAATAAATACAAAGATAGGAGGAGACCTGATACTGTCCTCCCTAGCTTATAATACAGATAGCATGCTTTTTTGCCAGCACTCCTACACAGATTTATTTGTTTTAGTAGGGTCTCCATTGTTGCATTATGTGGTCTGTTTATTTGCCTGTGTGTCCGTATTTAGAGTACAGAGCGACAGAGCACTTCGGCAGAATGTACTGCACCTGCACGAAACCCATAATATATTGTGCATAGCACATCGGCAGAACGTCTCATACATGTACATGTATAAGGTCGTATTCCGGCATATAAAGTTGACACCCCGTCTGTAGTTTCCAAATGTTATGTTGGAAAAGATATCCTCAGCAAGAGGCAAAACTCTGATGCAACGTTGACCAAAAATCCAATGAAAAACGTGAAAAATGGGGGGTTTTGCAGAGGCACAGTACTTTCTACATGCTGAGTGACAGGAAGTGAGGGGCAATGGTTTAACCACAAACTGACAGGAAGTTTGGATTGGAGGTCAAGTTCTCAAAATGGTCTCCCTGCAGGCTGGGAGGAAGTGAATGGTACAAAGTTCATTCACCTTGTTTCCTGTCTTCAATTTCCTGCTGTATTCATGCTATATACCTGTTGCTCTTTAATGGAAGCCAGTAGGAAACAGAGAACAAGCAAGAATTTCACAATAATGAATGAAACGAGAAATTCACAACTCTAAATAGATGTGAAATCTTTGATTTCTTGTTTATTTGTCCTGCACACAAAACAGGGTTCCATTAGAGATGCAGGTATGCATCAAGTTAGAGATAAAACCCCTACTGGCTACAACAAGTAACTTTTACAACTGAGACCTTAAAACTAATATGTGAGTGCTGGGTATACATTAGCCCTATACTGGCTGTAACAAGTGAATTTTACAAAAAAAAGACATCAAAACTAATATGTGAGTGCTGGGTATACAAGCCCTATACTGGCTGTAACAAGTGAATTTTACCAAAAAAAAAGACATCAAAGCTAATATGTGAGTACTGGGTATTGATCAAGCCCTATACTGGCTGTAACAAGTGCATTTTAACAAAAAAAAGACATCAAAACTAATATGTGAGTGCTGGGTATACAAGCCCTATACTGGCTGTAACAAGTGAATTTTACCAAAAAAAAGACATCAAAGCTAATATGTGAGTACTGGGTATTCAAGCCCTATACTGGCTGTAACAAGTGAATTTTACAAAAAAAAAGACATCAAAGCTAATATGTGAGTACTGGGTATTCAAGCCCTATACTGGCTGTAACAAGTGCATTTTACAAAAAAAACAAAACATCAAAACTAATATGTGAGTGCTGGGTATACAAGCCCTATACTGGCTGTAACAAGTGCATTTTACAAAAAAAACAAAACATCAAAACTAATATGTGAGTGCTGGGTATACAAACCTACCCGGTACTGGCTATAACAATTGAATATACAAGTGAGACCTCAAAACTAAATTTAAGTTGTGAGTGATGGGTATGCAAACCCTACTGGCCACAACAAGTAAATTTTACAAAACGGATCCCAAAACTAATAAAATAAGCTGTGAGTGGTGCTTGGTATACAACTTGGTACAAATGTATACAACTGACTATAACAACTTATGTACAAACTTGATCTTAAATCTAATTTGTGAGTTGTGCTGGGTATACATTACATACTGGCTATTGCAAGTGAATTTTACAAAAGAGACCTCAAAACTATTATGTGAGTGCTGGGTACACAACCCTTCTGGCTATATATTATTATAACAAGTGAATTGTGCAAATTGTCAAATCTAAGTTGTGAGTGCTGGCTATACAAACTTACTGATCACAACAAGACTGAATTTTCGAATGAGACATTAAAACTAAGTTGTGAGTGCTGGGTATACAACCCTACTGACTATAAGTGAATTTTACAAATGGACCTCAAAACTTGTATGTGAGTGCTGGGTTAATACAAACCCTACTGGACACAAGTTTTTGTTACAGACTTGACCTTATATCTAAGTTGTGAGTTGTGCTGGGTATAAAAACCCTACTGACCACAACAAGACAAAAGAGGCCTTAAACTAACATGTAAAATCTTTAGTTACTGGCTATGACAAGTAAAATTTGTAAACTGAACCTCAATACTAACATGTGAGATGTGCTGGGTAAGTCCCTACTGGCGACAACAAGTTGTAGATTTTATGAAAAAGGCCTCAAGTTAAAACCATAGTATATTAGTGAGTTGTGCTGGGTTTACAACCCTACGGGCCACAACAACTAGATTTTATGGAAGAGGCTCAAAACTAATTCGTTTGAGTGATGACAATGAGATTACAATAGCTTCAATCTCACTGATGTTGTCTAGTGAGGATAAACGCTGACTGTATTTTTGGCCCAGTCAGTAACCACCAGCTGTCCAGATGTTGCTATGGTAACAGCCCATGGTTCTTTCGAGGCTGCAGTGTGAGTGAGGAACGTGCCGTCCTTGTCAAATATCTTGACCAGTCTGTTCCCGCTGTCTGCCACGATGATGTTCCCCTCCCTGTCGGTACAGATGCCGCGGGGCAGCCACAACTGATCCAAATCGTTCCCCGGCTCGCCAAACTTGAACAGGAACTGCCCGTCCCTGTTGTAGACATACACACTGCAGTTGCCCCAGTCAGACACAAAAATGTTCCCCTCTCCATCCACCGTGATGTAGCACGGCACCTTCATGCCCTCCTGCCATCCTACAGTTCTCAGATGCGTCCCGTTGGCTTTGAACACCAGCACTTCTCCGTGCAAGTTGCCCTTGGCTCCAAGGGTTTGTGTGACGAGGACGTGGTTCCTCCTGGTATCCACAGCAACTGCTGTCCTCCGTCTCCATTCGGTGTACTGCAGGTCAATCTTGGTCAGGACCCTGCCCTGTTTGGTGCACTGAAGGCCAAAGCCGGCGGAATTGGTACACCCCACCACCCACAGGTTCCCCTCCCCATCCATGGCCACATCATGTGGGTACATCCTCTCTCCACCTGGCACCATTGTGGGGAACTGTGACACATACTCTCCCTGCAGGTTGAAGACCTGGATCCTCTGGTTCCCGTAGTCGGCCACAAAGATCTCCCCTTCATCTGACACTGTGGCACCGACAGGGTGGTTAAACAGTCCTTCCTCCTGCCCCTTTCCGCCGATTGTCACCTTCTGAAACTGGTGAAAGGTTTGGTGATGCTTCACAGGCCCTGTTTCGCTCGCTACAATGTTCCCATGCTCAGTGAACTGGCTTTGAACTGAAGAAATACTCTCTTGTGGAACTTGATTTGTGCTGGGGTTTCTATCATGATGATTTTCTTCAAAACACTCGTTATGGATGTTACAGTCTGGTTCCAGTTGCTGAAAGTTGTTGCACTTGTCTCCAGACAGGGTTTTCTTCCTTGGTCCTTCGGACAGTGTTGCCTGCTGTTCAAATTTCTCACACAGACTTGTGACCAGGTAGTTGTCGGGCAAACCTGCGACCCCGTTGCGTGGCTGCCTGACCCTCAGACGGCAGTTAGGGCATGGGAAGACAGCGCGTCGTGCTGCATAGTCATGTAGGCAGTCCTGACAGAAGGTGTGCTGACAGGGCAGTACCTTGGGCCTGGTGAAGAGATCCAGGCAGATGCTGCAGGACAGGTCTTCCTTTATTTGCTCCTCTAGACTTGCTGGTGCAGCAGCCATGTTGTCGTGCTGTCTTTACTTTGTAACATCACCTGTGAAGACAGAGATTGGTTATAGTCCAATATGCCCAATGAGGTAGTGTTCATTTTGTATTCGTTTATTCGTTTATTTCGATACCCTTTAGTCTAAGACGACTAGTCTTCCAGGGTTCAAAACATTAAAACATGTACATGTAGTTTTTGTATGGTTGTGTCAGAAATGAAGTAAAATGTAAAATTTAATGTCCATCTATCGATCAGATATACCACAATGAATTTTTTTTATGCACTGATGCAAAAAATCAGTACAATTTGGTGGACAGGTTTTTGGATCACTATAAAAAGTGCACATTGACCACATGTACCTACCAGTCCAAGAAAATACAAAACTGCCCAGGAGGATCACTCAGGGGACCAATGAAATCTGGTCTGTGTGGACAGGATTCACTTCCCACCCCAGTAACTAATCACATAACGGATGCAATTAGATATGTCACTTAGTGACTTACATGTACGTGACTACCTGCAACTACAATGTACAGCCCTCTCATATAGCCCTAAGGCTTCTTTCTCAAAATATAATGTAAAAATCAATTGCCTAAACCAAAAATAATGCTACCAGCTGCTTTTTCCTCTTGTACATCTGTAGTCAACTTGTTTCAGAGTGCTTAGAACTCAAAAATGTAAAAGGTTCTATTACAACAAAGAACCTTTGTCCTCTGCCAAAAAGAACAAACAGCCGCCATCTTGAATTTGATTTACGTCTCAAAATATTGCATCAGCAGGGCAACTGTGACCTTTAAATTGTCCCTTTTCCGACCCAGTGACTAATCATGTAACGGATGTGATTAGCTGTGCCACTACGTGCAACTTAACAGCCCTCCCATATATACAGCCCTAAGGCTTAAGACTTTCTCAAAATATAGAAATCAATGCCTAAACAAACCAAAAATTAGGCTACCAGCACCTTTTTCCGGGTCCTCTAGATCTTGTGCATGACCCCCAGTCAAGTGGTTTCAGCTAGCTTATAACTAAAAAATCCATCCCTATATTACAACAAAGAGCCTTGAATTCCATGCTGATAAGAATACAAACAGCAAGCAGCCATCTTGAATTTGATTTAACTCCTAAAATCTTGCACAGAAATTCTACATTTCCCACCCCAGTGACGGATGTAATCAGATGTGTCACTACGTACCACTACAGCCTCCCATACAGCCCTAAGGCTTCTATTTGTCCCAAGAAATGGGCTAAAACTAATCTTGGCTTACCAGTCACCCAAACCGACGTTCCTCACTGTTTCAAATCCCAGCTGTACCTACCTAGCTACCCTCCTGAATATTCATGTTATATCCTCATCATGGCCCCAGGAGTTAGCGGGCCAGACAACACCTGGCAGGATGTACTGCCTGCCCCTTTGTGGCCTCTTTAATTTGTGGTAGAACAGGTCAGGATAGGTCGGGTAAAGCAATTACTGTAAATTCATTTATTTTTGCAGGGATTTGATTTCGTGGTTAGAGTGGGAGGGAGGTTTTTGTTGTAAAGTTATGTACCGTAAGAATGCATATTTGTGGTGTTATTTTTTTGTAGTGGACTGCATTTTGCACCTCAAAACTTTGACCCCAACAAGTCAAACAACCACAAACATTTCAAGACTTACCGTACCCCCACTGTGACTGTTAAACATACATGCTCCACTTGACATGTTAATTTGCATGACATTGAACATACGTCACACCACGTGTGGGCACGTACACAATACAATGTACATGTACTGTCTGTAGCTATAGGAACTGAACAAACTTATGGATCTGTGCAAAGCCCTTGCAGGGCTGGAAATATGACTGTATTTTCAGATAAAATTGGAGCTGGGCAGGTTATCTTTTGATTTATATCTACCTGCAATCTAACAGTAGAATCTTTTACATTTAGTTATGTAACTGTAAGCAAGGATAATGTCCTTGCTGTAAGTAAGAGAGGGGGTCATTGACCTACCCATGGGTTCAATAAACTGTGTCTGGAGTCTTGTGATGTCCTTGAAGGAAAAACAGATGCTTGTTTGTATCATAGGCTGGTTGTAGCTATTATTGGTGGTACCAAAAAATAAAGAGACTCCTGACATAGGTTTTTTGGGATTTTTCAAATCCTTCAAGTATGAAATGGTCATAATGTGCTAAGAAATGGCAATAAAAGTCAATATCAAACATATTAACCCATCTAGAATATTTTCTGTCTTACTGCCCTAAAAATTGCATTGAATGCCTTTAACCATTGCTGTTTCTAATTAGTATTGAGCTTTAATTTGTTTTACGATTGTATTTTCAATGTTACTTGTTAGTGTTCCAAGGAACTCCTGAAAAAACAGGAGTGTGTATCTCCTGGTAAGATAAATAAACAAGAGTTCCATTATTGTACACCTCCGTCATCAGTCAGCAATTACAAACTTTCCTGAAAAAAATGCTGCTGCACTTCCAATGAAAGCTGCTTTGGGGACCAAACTTATGTCTCTTCTTCTCTAGCCCAAAAGCTTTTTACCAGTGAAAAAGCATGACCATAGCATGTTCAGAAGAGAAGATACGAAAACTGAAAGTGCTTTTTCAGTACCAAGGAGAGCCCCTGGGGGGGGGGCAAAAATTTTCTCTATCCACACACCAAATATCATTAGATTCCCTTCATACCGTCTTGAATTATGCTGTTCATAAACAGACAAATAGTAATGAAAACATAACCTCCTTGACAGAGGTAATGAATTGAAATGAAACCGGACTTATATCCCCCCCCCCCCA